ATCGCCAACTTGCAAATCCTCAGCTTCTGTTGTAAATAAAAGACTTGAGCACTGGGTATTAAAAGATGCTCTTTGAGATTCATGGATAAAAGGAGGCATGCCAAAGAGAAAGAGGCTCCCGGTATGATGTCCAGAATATGACAGTAGGTGAGACAAAAACAAGAGAAGAAAAAGAGGACAAGAGAGTGAGAGGCTCCAGCTGGCTCTTTTCATAATGAGAGGCTCCCTCTCTCTTCGTGTGTGTGTGTGTAGGTGTGTGTGTGTGCGTGTGAGAGAGAGAAAGAGAGGAGAAAAAAAAAGAGATGCAGCAGAGAGAGGAGGCAGACAGGAGGGTTTTAAAGTTCGTTTCACATTAACTTTTCAGTAGATGTGGGACTGACACAACCCTCTGGGTCTCCTCCTCTCTGCTTCTGCTGCAGACTTTGGATTCTTTTTCTCACACAGTGTACTTAGCCAGAGCTTTTTTAAAGGAGTTAGGATGCTCATAAATATCCCATGCATTATAGATGTACTGTAAGGGTGTGTGTGTGTGTGTGTGCTTATGTTTTATGTGGGTGTGTACAGGTCACAATCTGACCATATTGTTCCCATCTGCCTTTCTACCCGCTCAAACACACCTCACACACACCTTCCCTCTCTTTAACAAAATCCGATTATCTAGCCTGCATCAGCTAACGAGGCCCCTCCGCCACCGTTCACCCCCACCCTTCTGTACGCCCCAGTAGCCCCCACTGCTCCTCCTTGTTTCTTTTTCTCACTCTCACACAATATGATAGCCATCCGCCTGTTTCTGTAAATACACAAACACTGCAGCACACACCCACATGCTGCTCCAGGCTCAGATTGGATGGAAGACTCCCTAATTATTCTTTAATTGCCCGTCTCTGTCTGTCCAGCTGCCCCGCGTGTATAAAACACAGAGCGGCGGCCCGATTGGTCACTCCGGACTCAACGTGTTGCGAATTGCACCAAAAGATACGGCTGAGATAAAAAATAAAATAAAATCAGTGAGCAGCAATTTGGTAGAAGAAGCAGGATGTGATGGACTCTGCTGATTTAGATTTTCATGCCTTTTAATTGAGTCGTACCAGACGTCAGCGCCACCTAATCGTCCTCAGTGGGTTGTTTGTTCTGTAAATTATGGTAGCAGTCTTTCACCGGATGCTTCAACTCATAACAGTTTTACATCATTATACAGTAGAATAAAAAAAAGGGGGGCCTTTAACAGTTGTGGAAGTGAGAGTGGAGCGGTTGTAAACCCATTATGTTTGGCAAATTTGCACCAGTGGTTGAAAAATGTTCTTTAATGTGTGATGCAAGAATGAGACACAGATGTTACAGTATTTCCTCCTGAGTTGAAATAGGATTGCTGTAGTGTGACTTGCATGGCTCAAAATCAACTGTCAGCCAATGTGATTTGAATCTTTAATCTGCATCCTCAAATAATCAGTGAAGAGGCTTCACATTTGCTCTGGAAAAGGCTGCATGTCCCTTCTACCCTTGTGCATTATTGTTACAAGAAGAGTCTTCTTTCCCCTTATTGCATCAATGTTCAAGGTTTTCTGCCAAACCTTTATTTATTTTAATTTTTCTCAATTTATTCTGCTCATGTGACATCAGTGGCAGTCAGAAATACTAAGCGGTCAGGACAAGGTTGTCCAACAGATGGCTCAAACACGAGTGAGGAAACTGAAATTGTCCTTTGCTTTCAGGATTGGTGAAATCCACTCTTTAAGTAAGCTGCAGTATAAAGTATTACAAGTAATTGTCAAAGCTTATTTGTCATCTTCTAAATTAAATCATTTTAGTTATTTGTAGCATATTTGCAAACGTTTTTAAAGATTATAATTGGAACCATTTTTTTCACTGCTACATGCAGTGAAAAATGCACCTTTCAGAGTTTTGTCCTGATTTCTGATCTGCCACTTTGGATTTTAGATGTTTTTAGATGAAGACGTCACTTCAAAACCTGTAATACAGATAGATATGGGAAAATAGCTCAACAACGTTTGACAAGCAATTAATTATGATTTTTGATAAAGTTTGAGACTTCCCAAATCTCATTAACGTTTAATCATGTCTAAACTGGGAATGCGGCAAAGTTTTAACCTCTGAAGACCCAACTGGAAGGTTTGCTTGCAGCGAACACGTAAAGTAGCAGGTGTTGTGCTTCCACAGGCGACTCTTCCTCTGCTCATTCTAGGACAGCATGTCCCACTACATCTGGCGAATCATTTTTAAATGAAAATACACTTTTTAATGTAAACTTACTGCTCTTCCTGTTTTTGTCACTGAAGAGAAAAATAATTCTGCACTCATACAGAACATGAGCACAAACCCAATTGCGCAGTTTGAACTTGTCTGTCCACATTTGCATCAGTTAAAACAGAGTTTGAAAACAGCAATCAAAGCAAAGCAGTGTTGTTTTCAGATTTCCTGGGTGGTCTGGTTACAGCATCTCACCACCCAGGCATAGTTTCTTGTAGCATGGGTCTAGCTGAAAAAAGTTTTAGCAAAAGTTGCAATTATTAGTACCATAATTACTGTAAACCCAAAAGAACTCCAATTACTGTATCTCACCTGGTAAAGAGTAAAACATCCTGCACATGTGCCAGAAAGTCTTTTACTTTAATGTTTTGTGTTCGACAATGTGTGTTTTTCCCATGTAGCACTCAACGGGACGCTTAAGCTTTAAGTGCTGTTGAAAAGCTCTGTGCTTCATTTGCTCAAACATTCCCGTACATTTGCTTGGCTCCTTTGTTGTTTGTTTTGGCGTAAAAATAGAGAATACTTTTAGCGGCTTCCCCCCCTTTACAAACATAGGCCACGAGTATCAGTTTGTAAAACCAGTCCTCTTGAGATTGAATAATTTTATGAGGAGGAGTGGGGGGAAAAAAGAGAAGCAAGATTAAAAATAGAGACAAGGGAAGTGAAAAAGTAACTGAGCAAAGTAAGCGAGAGGGTAAAATGTTGGACAGAGAGACGTGAGATCTTTTTATCGAACGTCAGCACCTCACTGGTCTTTGACCCCTCTGTGGTTTGTGGGTTGTGGTGAATCACAGCATCTGACCACAGTGGAATGTCTCTCACTAACAACGCAATGCTAAAATAGTGCCTCATTTTGACAGCACACCCTGTTATCTCCTCCCAAATTTTTTAATGCTCCGTGTCTTCCCTTCTGTTCTTCAGACTGATAACGAGACGTCCATCACTTAGCTCCTCTCATCTCTCTGCAGACATTTTTATAAAAACTCTCTTTCATCCTCTCCTCCGTCTCTCTGCCTCCTTAATAAAACTAGCCTGTCAAGCCGCTACGGTTCCCAGAAGTCTATATTCTCTCCACTCTTGGCAGATTTTCACAACAAATAAATTATTCAGTGGTGGATTTTGTAGTCTAGAAATTGATGGTATGATTAATTTATGTGATCATACAGAATATTGGGTCTGTGTATTTCATTAGCCGTATGCATGCCTGCAGTTTAAATATTAACTTCAGTTTATATATAAGGGTGTTTTTGAAGCGTTTCGGATTAGCTACTTTGGTTCAATGCTTTCTTTCATCACAAACACGACTGACTTCTTAAAAACTTTGGTCTGTTTACCGACGTGTTGAATAAGTCTGACATAAGTAGTATTGACAAGCCCTGAAATTGCACATCTAAATTGGGAACGACAAAGACCGGTCATGTTTATCGACAGATTTCTAATTAAATATAGCGTGATAACTATATTAACCCTTTATAGTACTGCCTTTTTCCTACAGCTTTTTGTCATTTTGATTGAAAACATTTGGAACGTACACATTGTGTTTGTAGGAATTGAGCTCTCTTGCTTCCCCCAGCTCTCCATCCTGTTTCTCAGCAGCTCGTATTGTAATTCAGTCTTCTTGGGGAATAAGTTGTCTGTCCCTGGAGAAAGTAGCCAAGGCCCATTTTGTTCCTCAGCTGCATAGTCGTGCATTGAAATCTGGGACACTGGGTGCATCCTAATGTCTGTTGAAATGGGAGCACACCAGTCCCAAGGGCTGCACTGCTTCTCAAGGGGTACCTTAACAATGTGGATGTGCTGCTCTTGCATTAAAGAACAGCTGTGGTCCTAATATACAGTTTCCAGAACAGATTCGAGAATGATTAGATACTTCAAAGATTTTTCACCTTCTGACATTATCTTACCACCGGAAAGATTTTCCTATATGTCTTTCTTTGTCACTTACATTCTTGCTGTTAAGGTTCAGCAATGTTTTCAATGTTGAAAGAAAATTTTTTTTGGAGAGCTGAAATGAAATTCATTTTTTAACCAACAATTGGGAAAAACAAATTGTGACTTTTGAAACCAGCCTCACTCTGTGTGAAAACTTAATTAGCTCTTTAGCCTTATAAATAATTGTCAACATGGGCAGAAGGTCATCTTTTAAGTCGCTAAGGAGGAAGATTTGCCCACCTGTTTTAAAGAGTCCATTCATTTCTTGGAGGGTTTTCCAGCCTGAACATCCTGTTTGAACTGATGTCACAGGATCTCAATCAGAGGTCCAAAGACAAAAAAAAAAAAAATCTAAATGAAGGTTTTGGAGAAGCCCAGTCTTTCCTATGTAGAGTTAATGGTGTGCTTTGGAACATTGTTCTGCTACTTATAAGCTCAAGGCCAGTTATCGATTTCCATGTAGACAGCAGAATGCAAGGTTCAATCAATTACAACAAGTCAGAAAGTGGCTCTAGACATCACAACAATCCCACCATGTCTTTTTTTCTAAATCTTAAATATCGTGTCTTTAATAGCTGCAATCAGAGAGATTATCATATTAGCAAAATAAATGCAAGAAAACTTTATTCTGTGTGTAATTAATTTACAAAATGTTTATTTCTTAGTGAATTGAATTACAGAAATAAAATAACCTTTCAATATTATTCAAATGTATTAAATAGGTTTGTGTAAACAGGATGACACGTATAATCAACTTTTTTGCTTTTGCTTGTTTTTTGTTTTTGTTTTGTTTTTTCCAGTTTGCTGTGGTGCTGTAACTGTGAAGGTGACTCCGAAGGTGGAGGCGGACGGAGGAACAACAGCCAAACTGCCCTGTACATTTTCTGGCACAGCCTTGTCAAATTTTGTTGTTGATTGGCACATTGTAAGTGGATTGTATACTGTGTCAAAATATTTACACATAAGAACCATTTTTACATTGAAGTTCTTAAAGTACAAAGCGCACTGTCAGAGATTCTGCTTTTTTTTTGTTTTGTTTTGTTTGTTTGTTTCCTTTAAATCTTTTTTAGGACACTGGTAATCAAAGAACAAGAGTGGCCTATCGTACAATCTCTGGCGAGCGAATGAGCGACCCCGGCACTCCTCTGGTTGGTCGAGTCACTCTGGAAGAAGACCTCACCTTGACCATCAAGTCTGTGAAACCCTCGGATCCAAACAAATACTACTGCCAGGTCACTGCTGGCAAGGACGGGTCTGGAGAAGGCGAAACCATTCTTGAAGTGTTTGGTACGTAGAGCAGTTCTCCTTAACCCATCAAACGTTCCTACTGAACTTCAAAAGTAACTTATGATGAGTTTTTTGTGTCACTTTCAAAAAGGTTTCAAAATTGTGAGATTTATATGTGTGTCCATTTATGGTTGCCTTAACTTAGCCACACCTACTGCATATTGAATTGATTTGAGACATGTATACGTTTACACTCAAGTCTCCTAAATGAGATGTAGTGAGATTTGTTGCAATAGTCTGGACCTTTCAAGAAATTTTTTAGATTTTTTTTTTTTTTATATTAGAATTTTAGGCTTTCACTGATCCCAAATTCCTTTGACAAGTTCCCCAGAGGTCAATTAACCGCAATTTAATGGCACTAGGCATAATTGATGAATAGTTCAATCATACTTGTCACGTCTCATATATCTCTTCCTAATAAGAGTCAAGATTTATCACCATCATGCGAAGGCCTGATCCTGGTGCAGAGCGATGTTTCCCTTCTCGTCTCTTACCATGTAATCTTAAATAAGAAGCACTTACTTGTGTCTTGTATTGGACTTTCAGTTGTTCTTTTAAGGAAATGTATTTTATTTTATTTTTTCAAATACTGAAAAACAACCATGTAGTCATGTAGCATCTAAAAATGCTACATGACTAAACAATAAGATTTTTAATATGCGTCTTATCACAATAACTAGACATTTCTGCTAAATAATATCTGAAATGCAAACCAGCAATTACTTTGTGAAAAGGCATCAGGTTTGAGATTCAAACAGTAACTTTGAGGGAAAATATTATAGTGTGAGTGTATAATAGTTTTTAATCAAAAACGCTACAATAACACGACACATTACAGCATAAAAACATAATACATAATGTAATATTGATTATCACGCTTTCTGATAAAAATCACAGGCATAATATTGCAACAATAATGTAATAGCACTTATTTATTGTTTATGCTCATACCCAGGATTTAAGAGTGCCAATCTATTACCAATATCTGAATAAACCTCAGAGTAACCCTTCTATGCTTGAATGTGTAACTCTGACTACTGCATAGCCACTAAATCTGAATACAGACAACAGAAAAGAAGGAGTTAGAGGTGCACAACAGAACTCTTTTGCTTAAAGATCTTTGGCTTTACTGTGGTGCGGTAGATGTTGAATAAAATTGTCTCAAAAGCCACTATATCCAACAAAATCACTCTGTAACAGCATAAAACTTTATTTGAATTTTAGAGAGTGAGAGAAGTCGCGACAGTTCTTGATTTCAAACAGACTCGAAACATTTCCAATCAGACAATATTTTTGAAAGCAAGGGAATAGTGTGTTTCCCATTGTCTGAGGACAATGGGACAGTGGGAGGACAATGCTGCATTTCTGTACTCTACACATCTGGAGAAAACATCAGCCACTCCTGCACTTTCTCTGGCATTTTATGAAAAAGTCTTTAAACCATCGGAATGACTTAAAAATCCTACTGTTTAAAACATTTGAATACCGCAATACTGGTTACTGACTTTTAACTTCATTTAATTTTCATTTATTTTATGCTGGCCAAGTTTTCATAAATTACAGAAAACCAAATATTTTTTTTTGCTGAAAACATTGCTTTTTATGTGGGAGGGAAGAGAAGATAAATCTAGTTACACTGCTATTGTCCAGAATATAAACAGTTCTCAAGGGAATTTGGAACTGTGTTACAAAAGAAAAACAACTCTCAGTTTCCCATTCCCTTGGCCTGCCAGTACTTTTGGAGAGTCCTTGAGAGGGTAGAGGGATGAAGGACAGAAACTCCATCTGGAGGGTTTAATTTCCAAAAAAAAAAAAAAAAAAAAAAAAAAAAAAAGTCTCTTTCTCTCCAAACACTGAAACCCACCAGTGGGTCAGGTGTTATGGACAAGAAGGGGATTGAAAATTGTAGATCTCGGTGAAGGATTGAGAAAAAGAAACACCCATCTACTGTTTATTTCCATGCACAGTCGACGGCTGCAGGAGGAGATAAAATGACCTTGGACAAGTCAGCTTGGGAATAAAGCAGAGAAACAAATGGGGGAGCTCACACCTGTGGCTGAATGTGTGTGTTTGTGTTAAGCAGGGAGTAGGAAGTGGGAGTTTCTTCCCTGTCTGACCCTTATCTACGCAGATGAACCCGGTTAGCAAAGGAATACTATGAGCAAGGTTATTTACTGCGAGATTTAATTAACAAGGTCAGAGGGCATGAGGTTTGAAATACAAATATGGAAAGTCAGTGATTGTGAGCACTTGCATATCACATCTAAAAACCCCTTTCTCTTGATGAAGGGTAATGATTAATAGTTGTTTTCTTTTCCATCTCAGTTGCTCCCCAGACACCAGTAATCCAAAAACCGTCTCAGGCCATCTCAGTGGATCAAGAGGTCAGCTCAGAGGTTTGTATTTCATCTTGTGTACATCTCATCTTACCTTATTTTATTTCCTCTACATACATTTAGATTTTATGTGTATACACTGTGAACACTTGAAACCCCCAGTAAAATCCCTTGTTTGGCCAATAAGGCTTATTCTGATTTTGATTTTTGTTGGATTCTAAAGTTTTATTTGTAGATGCACCTATTACTGGAAATGTTCAAACAAATTTGATCTATGTGATTCCAGAAGCCTGGAAATAGTCAAACAGCTTCATGCAATGCTGAAAATGTTTAACATTGCGTTGGATGGTGATTGTTATTATCCTAGATTTTAGAGTTGTTGTTTTGTAATCAAATATTCAGAATGGAATGTAAACGAGTAAAAAAAAAAAAAAATCCTTGTTGTTTCTAGGGGGGTTCATTGTTTGTTTTTCATTTTCCTGGCGAAAAAACTCATTTTTTTGTGTCTTTGTTTTGAGAGAGTGGCCATTATTAGTGTTGATGTCACAAAATAGCTTAAGGACAACAGAAGCAATGTCTTGACATGACCATTAAAAGTCTAATTTAAGTCCAGATGAAAATTTGGAGGTAGTATCATCTCACTGATATTGAAAATAGCTATTTTGTCTTCCTACAGTTAAAGAGTGTTGTCAGTGCACAGCGTTAGTGTTAGGGTATGATGCATTCTCAGACTGAAAATAAGATCAGATTTCTGCATTTCAAACCGTTTCTCACCAGTCAGAGCTGGACAAGTTGAAAAACGTCCAAATCCTGTCACCAAGTAGTTTCTCAACTGATATCACTTGTAATTTCTGTTTTCTCGAATTTGAATCAGGTCGGCGCTTGCGAAGCAAAGAATGGATTCCCCTCTCCAAGGATCATTTGGTTCAAAGACAACCAGCCTCTTCCTGAGATCAAAGACAGAAAGGAAAGTATGTGTCCTCTGGATGATGGAGCTTGATGCTGTTTTGCTAAAGACACTCAATGGCATTTATGTCATGATTAATGGTTTTACTAATCTCTGACAGAGACCTACATGCTTCTTACTTCGGTGAAGGAGACTACGGGTCTTTACTCCATAAAGAACACACTGCACATGCGGCCGACGAAGGCCGACAAGGACTCTATATTTCATTGTACTGTGGAGTACAGCCTGGCAGGAGAGAAGAACAAGAACATCCAGAAGAAGTCTGAACCCATGAAAATTGACCTTAACTGTGAGTGAAAATCTGGGAGCAGAATGTTTGAGTGAATACAGAAAGACTTGTACTTGGGTTTTTTTAATGGGGGTTTGTTTCATATTTTTTTTAATAGAAACACATTTTCAGCAAATTTAGATTTACTTGTTAACGTGACATGACTGCATTTGGACAGTCACGTGAACCTGAGACCTTGGCCACTCGTTCTGCCTCAGACATGTAAACGGCAGATAACAAAGCATTTTCCAACAATGATTATGTTGCTTCCCAGCAAAATAATATAAATAGGATAGTTAAAAATGCTAAATTGCCAAAGCTCCAGTCAGAACAGAGAACAATACATTTGAATTCTTGCCTCAATTTTTTTTCCAGTATTTTGACTGGACTGTTGTAAGACATAATAATACTTTCTTCGAAACCATTCAGTTATCGTACTGGCTTACTGGCTGTACGATAAGAGTAAGTTGTTGCTGCTTTTAGGCAAATCTCCACCCTATTGTCTCAAGTCCTTTGCAATGTGTAATAGGTTGTCTTCCATCTTAGCCCTGGGCAAAGGACATGAAAGGAGTGGACGAAAACTGTCTTTTTAGTAAAAACAATTTTAGGTACAGTTGTTGGTAAACTGTGCTTAATAAAATCCAAAGCAAAAATATCCATCTACCTGGTTAAATTAGAGCATGCCATGCTTCCCTTTGCTGAGGAGGGCTTATGACTATTCTGATTCCATTTGCATTGGTTTAATCACCATGGCATTTCTCTACTTGACTGACCCTTAACCTGAGGGTTAAAAAGCACGTAAAAGCCTGTCCAAATATCTTAGGTGCTGTTACAGACAATAATTATCTCAACTCCAACGGTTGTAGATTGTAATGTAATGTCATGCTCGTCTTTTATGTAAAGTATAACTGTAGCTTTAACCACTGATTGAATTTTCACCTGTTCCACATCTGCTCTTGTCGTCATCCAGATCCTTTTGAAAAAGTTATGTTTAATCTGTTCAACCCAACTGTGGTCAAAGAGGGTGATAATGTCACCCTAAAATGTGAAACGGATGGAAACCCACAGCCAGAGTTTGAGTTTTCAAAAGATGTATGTAAACACATCAAGACTATCAATCTTTCACATAAAAAAACTTAACATCATATTTACCTGGCTTCATCATTCAGGTGTTAAATCTGTGATTCAATTTACAGGAAAAGAATCTTGATGGCGCCGACGGTTCTCTGATACTGAAGAATGTCAAGCGTACGGATTCCGGTACATACAAGTGCTCTACGTACGACTACGACGCAGAAGTGTTTGAGAAGTCAAACACCACGGTCCTTACTGTCAACTGTGAGTGAGACACACACATACACAAATGGACATTAACTACAATGCATAAAAAAAATAATTTCAACCTAACAGTGAATCATTCTTTTAAGATTGTATTTATTTATTTTCACATTTGAGTCATAAATCCTTAAATTAAAACGCCTTGCGTGGAATTAGCGATAATAAAATCCTTTCAGGGTTTCAATATCTGCTTCACTTCTTCACAGTTCATCTGCTACTTTAATGCTATCTCCACCACAGTGTCTAATTTGATCTTATCACACACATTAAGCGTTGATAGCCTTGAAAAATTCTTAACTCTGGCTTCAGAATTGGATTAAATTAAGAGTAAGTTTAAGATTCAATACTCTGTTATGTACTGTAATTTCTGGAGTCTTATTACATGGATGTTAAATGGATGAGCAGGTTTTTTTATTTTAATCTTTTTCCATACCCCCACTGTACCAAACCTCAGGTTTCAAGGTGTCTCAATCCATGTTGCTAAGCATCTGTTTGTTTTCTTTTCTTTAGACATTGACGAGATGAGCGTCTTTCCCCCTGGAAATCAGACTATCGATTTGGGAAAGCAGGTTCAGTGGCAGTGTAAGACCAAGGCCTCTAAAAATCACACTGTGCTGTGGAAAAAGGTACATCAAGACTTAACCATCTTTCTTATTGGTGTAAAAATACAGCTAGACTCTTTATGACTCTGATGTTTAACAGTCAAAATAGAAAGAGGATGGTGCAGAGCTGCTGTGGGTATTAGTCCTCAACACAGCCTTCAATACATACTATTTGCTATATTTGCTATAAGTTTTTTTTATTCCCCTTCACATTATTTTTCTCAGATATAATAAAACTAAGCTGATAATACATGAAACAAGTCAATAACTTTATCCAAATTCTTCGTTTTATTTTACTTATATTCTTTGAAACAAACAAAAAGAAAAAGCAATAAAAAGTAAAAGTTAAAGCGAATTTTCATGCCCATTGACATGAAACTTAGCATTTTCATTATTCAAACACAAAATTATTTAAAATTCAAAGTTATTTTGGTTACATATTAAATAACTTACAAGGTAGTAACATATATCTGAGGTCAGCATTGGTCAGTACTTTAAAAACTGTTATGACCAGAGATCATTTTTCTGTGTTTATACTAAAGAATAGGATAACATTCCACAATATAAAGTCCATCTCAGCACTGGCCCTATTTAAGACGACTCAAACACATCATCTGCTCCACACCACTGTTTGCGATCACCGTTATTTTGTAAATTGGTATCTCTGTGTGTCTATGCTGTAAGTTATTGTGATGTTATGTCGCATATCTTTGTGTTTTGCGTGGAGCAGTAACCTGCACTAAAACAGCAATTATGCTGAGCCATTCATTTAATCTAAACAAATAAATAAATAGGTATCTTTAGATTGTATGTCCTCGACTCAATACTGTCAGTTTTTTTCTCAAGTCATACTGATTTTGTTCAGTAATTACTTCCTGTGACTAACCTATGAAGTTAATATTTGCTTTTTCTTTTATTATTTGAAGCATCTCTATTTACATACTATCATACTTTAATATTTTGCTATTTACCCCAGCTTCTGCTCTTGTTATGTGTGTGATGCTCCTGCAGCGTTAGGCCTGTTGTTCCAGTCTTATTATCTGTTGTTGTGTCTCGTGGGTACGGTAGAAACTGTGTTGGGAATATGTTGTTTCCGAGTTGGAAGGACTCCTATGAGAAGAAGAGGAGAAGAATTGCAAACGAAAGGTTTTTTATCACCGAGGATGATCTGTTATCACTGCACTGTCAAACAGTGTGTGTGAAGATTGCTCCCCTGCTTTCCCAGCACACCACCAAGCCCTCCGTCTAGATATTCTCTGTGCTGTCCTGCTTTCAATTTTAAACAGACGGAGCATAAAGAAAGTATGGGTGAAAGTAGGGGTGATACTGTGAATCCAACCGGTTTTATTACAGCATTTCTCTCTTCCTCAGGGTGACGTAGTGCTTTCTCAGGATGGCACTCTATCAATTGCAAGTGCTGCCTATAAAGATGCTGGAGAGTACGTGTGTTTTGGCGGTGTTCCCGAAGTCCCGGGACTGACAGCTCAGGCCAGTGTAAACCTGACGGTGAAAGGTAAAAAGTCACTTTTCATTCACTCTGTCTTTAAAAACGTTTTGAGAGAAGTGGATGGACACATACTTCCATATTTTTCAATAATAAACAAACCAAAGAGGGAGATAAGGATGATCCTGCTGACCAAATGCAGAGTTGGACCAGCAATTTGAGAGTTTTATTTCTTTAAGTCAGCTCTTTCTTCATCACATCAGAATACGGCAATACTCACATTGTGGCACATTATACCTCATATCTCACCGTCAATCTGCATTCTTTCTTTGTTCCTTCACATAGAAGCCAAAACATGCATTGGAGTTTGTGGTTTATAATGATGGCGTCAATAAAATATGTTTTCATCACATTTGGTGTTCAACAGATCTAAAAAAAAAAACAACAACCACACAATAACTAAATAAACTACACAATAAACTACACATCAAGCTTAAATATCTCAAGTATACCCTATTTGTTAGAGAACAATAGTGGATAGTGGAACAATGCTACTGTTTTAGTTAGAGGAAGCATGTTGTATGTTTGATGGAAGCACTGCTGAGGAAACGTTGCTATCACTTACTGTCATTCATTAAATCACAAAACTCAACAATGTGTGTTTGGTTTGAAACATTCCTTTATTGTTTGCATTGTTTAATCACAACTTTCTCTCACCCTCCCCAGGAAAACCAGAGATTGACACCCCTCATGCTGGGGAGGTGGCAAAAGAAGGAGATGAAGTGACCCTGAAGTGTTCGGCCAACGGTTTTCCCAAACCTCAGTTTACATGGTCAACCTCAGGAAAGGAGGTAACCACTTCAAAAAAAAAAAAAAAAAAGACAGAAGCAGAATGAATCAGCTCTTTGTCCTCTGTATCTCCTTTCTGTTGTATCACTTACAAATCTGAAAACTCAGCAGGTTTCCTGGAAGAGACGTGTTTCTTTCCTTTTGTGTCAGAATGTAATTTTAAATATTTCATTACATTATCACATTTTTATTCTTGATTCTTCTAAAAAAGCTCAGCTAACAAAGAACTCAGTGAATATTCCCCAAGAAGCAGCAAAAAGATTTTACACAGGGAGTTTGGCTTTACTAAGATTACATTTTAATGAACATTCTGAAAAACTGGGTAAGTTTAGGTGAAAATAATGATGCATGTTAGATCAAAGTTAGGAGAACCTTTAACTTGCTCGAGTGATGATTTGTAAGAGCATAGGGAGAATGAAGGAATCACACTCTGGGATTAATTACAAAACGTAACAAGCAGGACTTAGTTCACTGACTTGACTTAACTTTACATCAAGTCTTAGTCAGAGGTTCTTAAATGTATTATAGCAAGTATCACCTACCCTTAACTTCAACCTAAGAGGCAGCAGCAAAAAAAAAGAGTTTTGCCAATGATGGTCTCGTAAATAAACTGGTACCAATGGAGCAACCATTGGAGTACTGGATATGATCTCCAGTTAATGGAAACATTCCTGTAAATAATATCACCATAAGCTACAATAGGATTAATTTATTAATTTATAAAGATGCAGCCTATGTTAAAAAAAACAAACAAAACAACAATATTTATTTGCACATTTTTGCACTGACATATTAATCACACACACTGATGTATTAAACCTCATGTAATAAATATTTAGTGACTGTGTTTGAGAATAAAAATAAAATGCAGAAAAACATATTAGTTGCTTTTACCAGTGGTAGCTGTTAGCCTGGTAGTATTTACTGCTACAGAGTTAAAATTGACATAAACTGAACAATTATTCCATGCTTTTTGACCTGGAAATGGAACAAGGTTAAGTTTTGCTTCATATTATTCCCAGATCCAAGTTTCTGCTGCAGCATAAGTAGCCATTACCACTTGTTTCTGGTTGTCTGTCATCAATTACATCCCAGTTATTATTTAGCTTGCAAATAATTAATACCAAAATTTTCTCTGAGTACATTTAAAACCAGCCCAAGTGCCAACAGTGGGATCATAGTTTGGGAACCTTGGGGCTTGGTAAAACAATTCATTTAAATTTTAATAGTACATTCCTCTCACTGCTTTCTTTCTTCCTTTTTTTTTTTTTTACCAGTCTCTCCCAGTGGAAGAGAACAAGGTGGTGGGCTCTCTGACCATAAAAGCCACTCCTGAGATCATAAAGAGCGGTGTGAAGTGCGAGGTTTCCAACGAGTTCGGAAAAGATAGCAAGGACTTCCCTGTAGCTGTCAAACGAGGTCAGTGTGAAAATTGTCTTTCCCTCTTTCAACACAATTTATTTTATAAAAAAACAACCAAGAGATCTTACATTTATCATACATTTCACTGCAATTTCAGAGAACAGAGTGTGTATTTTCAGTAGATTACCTTTGCAGTACCACAAATTCTGTACAGTGGATGGAAAAATAACAGGAGATTCTGAGCACAGCCGAAAATGACTGACACATTTCATGAGGGTCAGACTCTCTGACGTTGTCTAGGGTTGCCACATTCCTTGTAGAAAAATAAAGAAGGTCTCATGGGTCTGGACCTAATGTTACTTCAAGTGAAACGACAATCACATTGTATCAAGTGTTTTTCCGATGCTGGTTTATCTAATAGAGTATTACAGTTCAAACATAAGGTTGGTTTGAATAGCTTTTATTCTTTAGTAAAATAAATCATAATTTAAAAAACGCAATTTTTCCATGTTGACTCAATTTACTCAAGTTGTTATTCAGATTAAATTGATCTGAATCATAAGTATAATAAACAGAATATTTACTACTACAGACCTAAAATTGATGTAAATGTTGCAACTAAACTGTATTCTCTTGGTGTTTGTATTGCTTCTTTTCACGTGAGAGTGTCTGTAACATGTGCAAACGTTGACAGACTCTGTATTAACCCAGAACCTATGCCAGAGTGGTTTCACAGCTTAGCTTCTTTCCTCCACTACATCACTTCTGACATTTGTGTATCTATAATCCAGCAAGGTATCATAAACTTGGGAGTTGATTTACTAACAGTTGCCACCACCTAATTGCAGCCAGCCAATCTGCAGCAACATAACTCCGAATCTTTCTTCTGTTTCTTGTTCTCTCTTGCAGCAAACTCAGCTGAAGGTAGAGCCTTCTCCCTCCTTCTCCTCCTCTCCTCACTTCTTCTCTCAGGACTCTTTGTTGTACAGACCCTGTAATCTAGAAACCTCCCATCCATCCATCTCCTCTTGCCCCAGCCCCTCCATCTTTCGCAAACACACACATACACATTCAGAATACGCATCTTCCTCTGTCGTACTGTAATCTTGTATATTTGCCCTCTTGCTACCGAACACTGTGGATATTGTATATTGTTCTTCTTCTTCTTCTTCTTCTTCTCTTGTCACCTTTGTATGATGTCTGTCCAATATTTCCTGGATGCAACTAAGTTTTTGTGGCCCTTTGGGGACAATAAAGAATTTTATTCTATTCTATTCCTTCCATTCCTCTCTTTGTTTCCTGACTGTGTCTTCTTGGTCACCCCTTTTTTTCCAACTGCACTTCTATTTTCTGCTTTTCTCCTTTTCCTGGCGCTGTATGTAGATAGAGTAGCTTTGGCTTTTTTGTGCGAATGCTACCAGTGGTGTGCGTGTCATTTGTGGTTGTTGCTTTGCTATGCAATGGGACTGAAAACTCTCTTTCTTTCAAAGTGCTGCTCTCTGGAAACCCTGTGCTTACGTCAGGTCTGTATGGCTAACCCTACTGACATGTCGTGTCTCTGGTGTTTGTCTAGAGCTGCAAGTTACTGTGTGTGTATTGATGTCTGTGTACACACACAGGTCAATGTATTTATGTTTAGAGCAGTTGATGTTTTTGTGTATTTGTAGCCTATTTGTTTTACTATAGTTGCGAGGACAAAAGAGATGGGACGTTATAAGAAGGATAAATATCTTTTTGCTTGTGCAATGCACAGCCTAAAGTTTTCTTAAACTGACTTTTGGTCATTTAGCTTTACTATTTAGTCATGCAGTCAAATAATTATTTAATCTAACATTTCCTTACTGCAAATACAGAAAAGTTTTATATGTTTTTTAAAAGCTTTTTTATAATATTTCATGTCTTTTAACAACATATTGTTTTAGTATAATAATATAAAGGTTAAACAAAGTTGCATAAAATCCCGTGGATAACAAAATAAGCCTGAACATAATGTCTTCCACATTTTATTGGCATACCTGACAAAGACGCACAAAGGTCTTTTGTCTTTTAGCAAAATCTTTTATGGTAGTAGCACAACCTCAAACTGAAAAACTTGTGCAAAATTAGTGTAAATGTTGGAACTTCTAACAATTCCTATATTATAAGCATATCAAAGTGTCTGGGAGCTGATAGTAATACTTGTCTTATTATTTCCGGGCGTATGAAAACAATGTGACAGAATCTTCAGAATGGGAACGACAAGAAAACATGCCATTACTTTAAGTCAGATTTATCCTCATAAGTCAGGAAATAAATACAAAAAAAAAAATGCAACTAACTTGCAGTAGCCAATATCTGCAGGGTGAGCGAGCAACAATTTGCCCCTGTGGGAATCAAGGCTGGACGGGGTGCAGTTTTCATCTGACAGCCAAGAGGTGGATGGAGAAGATGGAAAATATAATCTTCAAACTGGACAATTAGAGAATTGAAACAGATGTTTTGCTGTGTGATTATGCTGCTGCTTTGGAAGCATGGACTTACTCATTTTTACCAATATGATCATGACAAATCATCATATTATCTTAAATTATCTTAGTTTTGCATCTCCATTTTATTGTCTGACACTAGAATAAAATGTTTTAGACTATATTATTTTTAATACAAAACAAACATGAGGGTTTTCTTGCCTTATTTCACATTAAATCAATCTGGATTTTGGAAAATTTTCTTTTCCAACTTTTGAGATTTATAGAAGTGTAGAAAGTATCTGCTATGAAACATTCAGCTTATGACTATGTTATGTAGGGTTATAATCCCAGTTTATAGGGCTCCTCTTGCTTCAGAATGAGTAAAATCCTCAAAATGTGTTAAATGTGCACCTTTTCTAAAAATTTGAAGAATTTCTTCATAAGCAATAAAGTGTAATCGCTATGAAAGAGAAGTCTTTTGCCAAAAATCACAGCTTTTTTTGGATCTGAAATTCCTTAACCCTCCTTCATTCCTTCTGTACGTGACTCAGGCAGTTAACTTAAAATCTGTTATAGTTAATAATTTAAGGTTTGGAGTGACTTCACCTAGCTAGTAAGCCGTGACTGCTGTGAAAAAGTCTAGTTTTATTGCTGTATTAATCTGACTTCACTGTTTTCAATTACATTCTGGCTGTAGTGTCGTGGTTGGTGGACAGCATTTACCTAAATAGCTTGGTTTTGGATCCCACAGTGGAAAAGCGCATGGTTTATTGCAAGAGTAAAATAAAAGGTGCTGGGAAATTATATTCCTTTAATCAAACATTTTAGGGTTGCCACGTTGAAATACAGTCTACAATCCACATTTTTTTTCTTTGATTATTGCTTTTAATTAAATCTTTTTTACAGAAATAAGTCACTAAATTGACAGATGTCTTGTAGCTGAATTCATTGCCATTTTTTGTATGTTAAAAGTAACTTCACTGCTTAAGAATTTACAACAGATCTGCTTCATCTCACAACAATTCACAATGCCACTAACTTGTTTCTGGCTTGTTGATAAGGGAAAGTTGTAAAAAAAAAAAAAAAAGGTTCTGGAGGTAGGACTGACTCTAAGAAAGCCCACAGAACCTAATAAAGAGCCTCATAATGTTTCACAACCAGAAGCAAAAATTTAGCTAGAGTCTTGTGTTTAATGTGTGGTTGCCAGGCAAACAGATGAAATGCCAGAATGTCAGCACTGCAAGCCAAGAAACGGTCCATCATCAAGCCTCCTATTAAACTGCTCCATAAAAGAAAGCGTGTTTCTTCATTTACCAGGAGAAAAATTTAAAAGCAGTTATAATAGCCATAAAATCCCATTTTTGCTTTTGCCCTGACGGGGCAAAGTCAGTTCAAAAACACGTCTGTCATGTCATGCCATGTCATGTCTTGTCCTCAAAATTATAGTAATACAAGTGTGAACCGATGGGTGAGTATGTTCAGTGTTGTTTTCTGGCTCTGGTCAGTTGTGTGTTTTCTCCTTGAGGAACCTGGCCCTGTGTTTGGGTCCCATCACATTTCAGCCATTGCATTCAGAAGTTAGTCTAACTCCACATCGCAATCCCCACTCCCTTATTATCTCCTCCCTCCCACCTGTCCACCTATTAACTCTCTTCACCTGGATCCCATCAACCCCCATCCTTTCCCTATTTAATCCTTCCCAAATCAAATCAACACCCCTCCACCAATCCTTCCCTATCCCCCCCATCAACTCACAAATCAAACACCCCCCACACACACTTCTTCTCTCCCCCTGCAAATCAAAAACTCCCCTCTTTTCCATCCCCACTCCCCCCCCACCTCTTCACTTTGATCATCCCTCCCTTTCCCCCCGCTCCCTTAAATCTGCTCCCCACTGTCCCACCAACCCCTCACCCCACCGTCCTCCTTCTCCTCCATCACTCCCTCTATTGTGGCGCTGTAGCTGAGAAGCAGCAGGAAGGCTCCAGCGCTGTGGTGATTGCCGTGGTGGTCTGCGTTCTTCTTCTTCTGCTGCTGGTAGCTTTCTTCTACTGCCTGAGCAAGAAGACCACGATTTGCGGCAAGAAGGATAAGAAGGAAGCGTGAGTAGACGACATGACGAGACAGATGGCATAAACTCTGACAGCACTGAGCTCATGCTTCGTCTGCCTTTTGAGCAAAATAAAAAGCACAGTTTTCTGTGGTTGGTTAGATTAACAAGTCAACCGCTTGCACCAAAAATATGTCATCTCTGTAGTCGTTGACTTGTACTCAGTGATTTTCCTGCTGTTTCGTGTTTTCTTTTCAGAGCTGCTACACCAGTGAACAACATTGTGGTGGAGATGAAGACGGAAAAGGCCAACGAAGAGGCCGGACTCCTCCACAAAAAGATCAACACAGAACAGGTTAGAACAGGCTGAAACTGCAGTTCTCCAGGCCCACTGCTCTGTTATGCAGGGCTAGCTACCTGGTAAAAAAATAAATAAATAAAAAACAGGAATAAGGAATAAGATCTCTTCTTGGAAGTTATTGTCATCTTCCACAATAACTTGTCAAAACATTTGGAAGAGGATTAGGGCCACTGATAAAAAGTAATTCTGACTTTAATCTCAGAAACCTGAGATAGGAATTAGGAGAAAAAAGTCAGAACTTTTTTTAATCTGTTCAGCTGGTCCAGAGTCCTGGGTTGGTAAATTGCGAGACTGAGTGAAAAAGCAGTGGTTCCCAAAACATGATGTTGTTTTTTTTTTTTTTATCCTTAATTTAAAGGAACTCAGTATTTTTTCAGTTTTCTGGAAGTTTGTCACAAATTAGTGGAGCATAGAAACTGAACGTTGGTTCTGATTCTGGGGATGCAGAGTAAGCTTGAACCAGAAGAACTGAGCGGTCTGAAAGGTTCATCCAACAACAACAACAACAACAACAACAACAACAGCTATTTAAAGTATTTTGGTGCTAAGCCATTCAGTGATTTAGAAACTAACAACATTATTTTAAGGTCTATTCTCTAAGGGAATAACCAGGGTAAGGGGTTTGCTTCATTATTAACGGGGCAGTGGCTTTGCATTAAGTTCTTGAATAATGACAAATTATGAACATTGCCTCCAAATTCATCAACTTTATAGCAGCTAGATGTATGAAATTTGGCATAACTTGGTATTCAGTCAGGACAAACGCACATCAGACTCAAATCACAATTAAAAGCCCAAAACTATTATAGCATTAAAGATGAGGTGAGTGTGTAAACTGAATGGAAGTGTATGTATTTTCAGTGTTAATACATCACAAGTTCATTCATGCAATTAGAATTTTGTAGCCTTTGACAAATCTTTATTTATTATTTATGTTGAATGGAACATGTATGGAACCCCTAAAGGGACATTGAAGGGGAAAAAAATGGGAAAAATATTCCCATAAGCATTTGAGCGTAAGAGCGTTTTTTTTTTTGTTGTTTTTTGTTTTTTTTTTTGTTTGTTTATTTGCTTGTTCTTTTCCTTCAGTGTCCCTTTGAGGCTCCACAGAGTTGAAAAGAAAGAGCAGAGTTTTTTTTTTTTTTTTTTTTTTTTTTAAAATAAATAAAAAAAATGAGGTAATTTTTAAAATATTTTTTTTTTTTTTTTTTGCCTTA